TGCCCCCGTGTGACAAGGGTCCCAGCTCCTCTCTGGGAACCAGCCCTAAGAGAGCGGCATCGTGGGGACCGTTGTGGGTCCACGCTGGTGCTGATGTCACCAGGGCACCCCTCATAACGGGTGTTGGGATCCAAACTCTCCATCCCCCCAGGCTCCATCCCCCCGAATAACTGCATGGAAAGCAGCAGCTTCCCTAATTCGGTTTATTCTAGGAAGGAGCGTGACACTGTCGTCATGGCGAAATTCAGATGGGGGGGAAAAAAAGCACCCGACAAGCTGGAGGGGGATGAATTTTAAAATAGTCCCTGGTTCCTCTAGCCCAGTGTCACGTCACTGCGTTCACACCCAGCCCAGCGGCGTTGCTCAACGCCAAAGCGTGGACGTGGCTGAGCATCACTTTCGCAACACCCTGGTGAGGAAAGGGGGAGCTGAGAGACCCAAAAATCATCCCAGAGGTGGATTCAGAACTCCTTCTGCCTCCTCCAGCCATCACGTGGGAGCTGGCGATGGGGGGTCCTGCAGCATCACACCTGGTCATCCTGCAAGGATGGATGGGGCTGCAAGTGTCAGGCGTGGAATTTGGGGTTTTCACGCTGTTTCAGAAGCACGAGGGCAAAAGAGTGACCTTGTCCCCCCCTTGGATCTGCCCACGTTCCCAGGGGAAGCGGTTGCTTTGCGGGTAAAGAATCATCCTCAGCTGGTTTTCTGCCGTAATGAAAGAAGGAAGCTGGAAAATTACAAAAATTAGTGATTTCTCTTCCCCCCAAAGCCTGATCCAGCCCTTGACACACTCCTCCAGCAAACCATTCCTAAAGGCTTCACAATAAATTTATTTTCCTTTCCCTTAGCAGCGGCCCACGAGATCAGACCTCTTGCATGAGCTGTGTCAGGGTTCTAAAACAGTTTGGACTTGGAGAGGAGGTTGGAAAGAGTTTACAACCCTGGTCCTTCTCCCATAGCATCCCCACACAGGGAAAGTAAGATCAGCCAGGGGCAGGGGCTGCCTCCTCCTACTCAGCCCAAAATTCAGCTTTAAATAGTCCAGAAGATCCTCGCCTGTTCCCATAGTCATCAGTGGAAAAGGATGGGGATGGAAAAGTGCGGTGGGATGCAGTTGCTTCCCGGGCAGGGGCCCCAAGGGCCATTGCAAAACTCTCTTCTCCAAAAGCCAGGCAGCTTTGTAACCAGGTGCGAAGCAGAGATTACAACCAAAACCACGAAATAAATCATTTCCAATTTTTTCCCCTCTGCTGTTGAACCCACGTCACTGGTATCGCCAGTCGGGGGCTCCATCTAACAAAGCCGGAGCCACAGGGTGAGCCCGTGGGGTGAAAACCCACAGGGAGGGGATGAAGTCGGGGTGCAAACATGCTCCAGCACCGACAGGACAACCCTTCAAAGTGCCGTTTCTCAGTTCCTGCCTCACACCCGCCTGCGGGGCTGCACCCAGAGCCCCTCTCCCGGCAGCCCAGGGAGGTTTCTTGCCCCGTTTTTCACTCCGCTGTCCTGCACCTCCAGCGTTTCAGCCCCAGCTTGGGGGTTGACAAGTGCCGGAGGGGTTTTTACCCCGGTTTCCTAGTTTTTCCTCCGGTTGGGAACGCAGATTTCAGTGCCCGGCGAGCAGAAGCAGAGCTGGGCTGGAGAGGTTCAAGCCACGGGCATCATCACGCTGGCGTAAACTGTCATGGGCTCTGTGTCCGAGCTCTGCAGCAAAAAAGGGGGAAGTAAAGGAGTTGATGAGGTGCTCGAGCTGGGGGGGGACACCTTGGGGTGCCCCATGGCCATGTCGAGGACCAACCTTACATGCGGGAGGGCCCATGGCCATTTCGAGGACCACCCTTCCCTGCGTGAGGGACGAGTGGCCCCATGGGGCAGGTGGCTCTGCCGGGGAGCTGCAAGGGGGGCCGGTGGCTGCGGCATAGATGGTGGTACAGGAGGGAGGCTCGGCGGCAGGACCCCTTTTCCGCTTCTGCGTGGAGAGCGAAGGATGAACAGGTCATCCCACCCTCCACGGACCCATCGTTTCCTCCCCTGGTTTTCCCCAGTGTGTTATTCAGGGAGGGGGGAAAAATCCACCCAAGTCTGTCCCTAAATTCACTGACCCCGGGCTGCCTTGCGCAACAGCTGGTATGGGTGACTCTGGGGCCACCCCACTGCCCCCACCCTGGCCACAATTTCAGCCTCTCCCTCACCAGCCATGGGGCTCCGTTGACACCCAGTAGCCAAATCTCACCAGAGGGTGCTGCAGGAAGGCACCTGGCGACAACTCAGGGCTTTGGGTGCTGCTGCCCAAAACCAGTCCAAGAGATTCCCCCTCCAGGACCTAAAAAACCCTGGCAGGATCGTGCCCACAATCCCCACCGGGGTCCCATTGCTGATGAAGCATTTTCATTTCTAAAGGAACGTTTTCATCGCTAAAGGAGGATTTTCATCACTAAAGGAGGAGTTTTCATCACTGAAGGAAGATTTTCATCCCTGAAGGAAGATTTTCATCACTAAAGGAGGGTTTTTCTATGGCTGAAGGAGGGGTTTTGTCCCTAAGGGAGGATTATAACCCCCATGCACTGGGATGGTGCAGGTCGGGTCTCACCTCCACCCGCTGCACTTGAGAGTAGATGGTGTGCACCGCGTTGTCCCCAGCGAGCGTCGAGCCCTCCTGCTGCTGGCCGGCTGTGGGGGGATAATCAAGATAATGAGCTGAGAGGGTAGCGGGGACCCCCAGGTCTGCTGGAGAGCATGCAAGATGATTTTTTTGGGTTTTTTTTCAGGCTGGTTTCCTTCCCTCCTTTTTACTTTGCATCTCAAGAGAAACACATTTTGCTCCTTCCCAAGGATGCTCCATAAGCAAAGTGCCCACGAGAATCGTCATCCCCTTTGCTCCCATCGCTGAGGATGGATGGAGGCATCTTCTATCGCCCCTCTATGGACCAACAACCACCTCAGCAATCCCTCCCTCGTGGCACTCACCAACAGATTTGGCCAAACGGGCAACCACAAAGAGCAGGGCCAGCAGCATCACCGCAGCAATGGGCACCACCACCAGCAGCACGAGATGCTCCATTCTCAGCCCGGCGCTGCCTGGGATGGGGGAGGACAAAAAAGGGGAGGAGGTCATCCTGCAGCCCTGGGGCTCAGCAGTACCCTGAGCCAAGCAGAATGGGACTGCTGAAATCTCCCTTCATCGAATTTGGGGCTGGCGACGCGGGTGGAGCAGGAAACAACGGGCAGGAAATGCTGCTCTCTCTGATCTCCTCCAGACCGCAAGAGTCAGTGAGAAACCCGCCCGCAGGTCAGGTCAAACCCTACAAGTTTCTCTTGGCTTTTCCAGCAGCTGTTGTACAATGCAGGCACGTGGGAAGAGGGCTCTGGGATGGTGGGGAAGCGCCCGGGGTGGCTCCGCTGCTGGACCACTGGTGGTGACACCGAGCAAGGACATTGCGCGGTGGGAGGGGGTTTGATAACCAGCGAGTTACCAGCCCAAACCTTCCAGCCACCCCCGGAGCCTCTCATTTCAGCATCTCCTAAGCCAGACTACCAACCAGTTTCCTCCCACAGGGATGTTTTCTCAGCACAGGTCACTGTGAGAGCTGTGACCTTCCGGCTCTCCAGGGAAAGGGGCAGTCGCCGTGTCACCCTGTCTCAGCAAAATTCCCCCCACGTCACAAGGGAGCGCTTAAAAAAAATCCCAGTGAGAGGGAGTGTGACTTTTGCCCCAAGGACCTCTGAAGGGGAAGTTGTAACCGAGGTTATTACCCTCCCTGCACCGCCCAGCCCGGAGTCTCACGCAGCTTCAGATGCTCCTCGAGCATCGGGGCACAACGAGCAGCGCGGTGGCCGGGGAGGG